AAGTGGTTGCATGGATTGCAAAATCAACTCTAGAAAAAGCATTAAGAAAAAACAAAGCGTGGAAGACAAGACTGAAAAGACTGAAATTTCAAACAAAACAAAGCGTGGAAGAAGCAACAATGTTGGCAGAAGATTCAAAAGAAACACTAGCAGTGATCGTGGTAGAAATTTGAAGACTTACCCTAAATTTTGTTAAAGTTGTTTGAAAATTTGAATTAAGGGGGAGTGTTGGAAGTTAATTCAAATTTAACTTCATTGATATCGTCGATGCTATTTTGACAGTTAGAGTTTTGAAATTAAAATAAAATGATTGATAGGTTTAGGCTGTTAGCGTTTAAATGATGGTTGTTATCATTAAGATTACGTTATGTCTATTTAGTACCTATTTAAAGGATGTGATTATAATCATATATGTATCCAAAAATTAATATAATTTACATAATTATTTCCTTTCACGTATATTTTTCTTCGTGTTCCAATTGTTACGTTGTCCATTAATAGCCAAAAAGGCTAACATTTATTACGTTCATGGAGTTCGATAATTTGTTTGTTGTTCAAAATTCGAGTGGTTATCAAAAGGTGGTTGAGATTAACATCTAGTATCATTCAAAGTGTTATTCAGAATAGGTTGATGGCAGGAGTTCAGATGGTTGCTGAACATATTATTGAAATTGTGTCATTAACTGTCAGAAGTTCACTTACAGATAGTTGTAACGTTTCAAATTTTCCTTGCAAATTTTATTATTTCCATTAGATCTCTCCACTCCAAGACAATATAAAGGGCATCTATTATTTGTGACTTGAAGGTATTAAATAGAGTGATCGATGATTCTTGAAAGGCAATTCCACCAAGGTTGATCCAAGCTTTTGGGGGCTCAAGCTAAAGTACTACCATACTCGAGGATTGTTATAGTGATATTTACTCAAGTCACTTATGTGAGTTCTCTACACCTTATATATACTTATATGTAGGGTATTATATGTATTTTCACCAAAACCCACTTTCACTATGTGTCAACAACTCCTTGGGATATTCTACCAAATTTTAAAATGTCATTTTCCAACTGATCAAATGTACATTGTCTTACCTCTATTATCACAATAATTCTTATGGAGATGTAGGCATAGAGTAATCACACAAATCCATTCGTGGGGGTTTTACTCTACTGCAGTAATGATACTATAAAGAGGTCATGCGAAAATAAATAAATCACTCAATGCCAAGATGATAAAACTTATCACCTCACATTCTTAATAATTTCAGTATGAAATAGAAAAAAATTAAAATGAAAAAGTCTTTATTCAAAACCCCAATTATAATTTTCCTTGTCTCCTAGGTATGTCTAAGTGGGGTATTTGGGATTGCTTCTCTACTTAGTGTAAAGCACTTTTATTTCAAAATATTACGGTGCAATGTGTTTGGTGAAAAAAAAAGAAAAAAAAGTGCTAATAGGTAGTAGAGTTTACGTCAAAGAAGCGCATTTAAGTAAAGTTAAGAATAGTAACTTTTAAAATTGCGGTAGTGGTTCATGTTTTTAGGTAACTAATTTTTTTTAGACAATTTAATCCTTGTATATTTTTTATAAATACAATTGTATCCCTGCTACAAACAATTAGCAAACAATATTTGGGATTCTATAACAAATGATAATTTTAAATTATTTTGGGACTCTGAGAGCCGCCTTCCAAATTAGATACAATTAATCATCATTAAAATATGTTTAACTCATTTATATTTTAGTACTCAATACAAATTCGATATTATAAACAAAATATGTGATATTTAAAAAAAAAATTAATAAATAAATTATTGAACTGAATGGAATTTTATAATATTTAATTAGAGAATTAGCACATGTTTAGTGGAAGGGTAATATAATAAAATTAGTAATAAAAATGCTTTAAGCAACATTATTACCAAACAAATTTAAAAGTGCTTGAAGTATAAAAAAATATTTTATATAATGTGTCATCAAAGGCATAACTGTATTTTACCGACAACAATTTTATAACAACTCTACTATTAAAAACACTTTTAACAATCCCAAACGGGCTCTAAGTTACTTCAACAATTTCCTGCCTTTATTAAGGGAAAAAAAATTACAATTTCCTGTCTTTTTCTATTTCTGTTTTTTTTCCATCTCTCTTTAGTCTAAGTAGTCACTTCGACAAGTTAAAAGCACTTTTAATTTGAATCAACTTTTAAAAGGTGAAAGAGTTTTAAACAAAATTTTAATATTTTTTGTAAATAAAGGCGGTTTTAAAAGTGCTATAAATTCTATACCTTAGACATTTGTAAAATCAAATACAATCTAATTTTTCAACAATGAAAGAATTTTGGGGCCGGGAAACTCTTTCTTATTCAAGGTTTAAATTCTCCTAAACTCTTTCCTCATAATTACCCGCCTCTTTTACTCGCGATGAAAAGGACAGGGAAGGACAGAAGTACTCCGGCCCTGCCTCTTTATGTTGCAAATTACTCCGAATCATACCCAAAATACTTTTGTAAAAAAATTATATACTAATTGAGATTTTTTATATCTCATAGCATTTTCAGCATTATGTTAAAATATTATTTTGTATAAAATATACATTGCCACCTATGATATATAATTTTTTTTCATCTCCAGCAATGTAAGATACATTACCACATCATCAATGTGTAAACGGATTGTGTATTTTACACAAAGTTTGTAAAATTTATGTAGGTCCTGGGACGACACATGATTGATTGTAGTTGGGAGATATATTTTTACACAAAAATTATAAAACAACCGTTGGATCTAAAATTAAATAATCTAAAATTATTGTAAATCTATCATGACACATCAGATTTACATAAAAAAAAAATATACATAACGGTTTGAGATGCTCTCATATTGCTTTGCATGTTAATTTTCTTTCTTCAATAAATTAAGAGATTTTTCTAACTCTAATGTTGCTATATAAATTTTAAAACAATAAATATTTAAAAATTATTGTTTTAAAACAATAAATATTTGGTTATATAACCAACGGACAAGTGGTCTAACTGTACCAGCCTCTTATTTCCCAAAGGAAGGTCATGGGTTCAAGTCTCAAAAGATAGTGCGTGAGTACCAATTAGAAAAAATATATATATATTTGGTTATATAAATTTTAAAACAATAAATATTTAATTTATACCGAATATAGATAATACTTTATTAAATTTATAAAATACGAGAACAAGTAATATTTTCTGTTTTAATTCTGAGGTAACTTGGTCAAATCAGATTTGGGAAGTTTTGGCATTTTCTTTTTGGCCTATCATTATTCACAAATGAATGATAAACGGAACAAGGAGTAAACGGAACAAGGAGCAGTGTTACTGTTACTTGTCAAACCGTACTCATGGAGCCGATCGTAGAAACTACAAGGGGAAATTTGCTAAAACGCGTTCAGTTGAAATATATAGCAAAAACAAAGCAGCATCCGAAACATGGTCTAAATCCCAAAGTTCCACGTCCTCTGAATTCCAAATTTCCTCCGTAAAATTATATTCACCAAAGATGGTTGCATTTTAAGCATTTCATATCATTTTTTCACCAGATAGAAGATACAAGCACATACAACAGAAAAGAGCCTCGTTAGCATGGAAACCAATCTTGATCCAGCAGTTTTTGATACAATTCCAACACATTGATGTAGCCAGGCTTGTTATTGTAGAGATGATAAAATAGAAATGACAATGAAAAAAAGGTTCACAAGGTCTTTATCGCAAGGACAAATACGGAAACAAGCTGCAAAAATACACTCCACAAACAGCATGAACTTGAAGGGTCACTCAACAAGCATCCAGTTAACTGAGCAAACCAGATAACAAGAAGACCAACTCAACCCTACTAAAAAAGAATTATTAGGAAGCAACATACCAATCACTTCCGATATTATGATACATAAATATGCAACAAAGCCAAAAAAAAAAATAATAATAATAATAAAAAAATAGGTAGCATCTTAATTTGAACCAAGGTGAGGTAGCAGAATCTGAATAACAACATGTCAAAAACCAGTTGCATTACTCTTTTTCACCCTGAAGCTGAATTTTATAAAGGCAGCTAACCGCAGAAGGCTTATCAAGAAGGAAAAGGTGTTAACTTGCTACATCTTAAATCAAATTTAAACAAGTAATCAAAAACTTTCACTCTCAAGTTCTGAACCTCAGTAAGTTCCGGCTCATCCAACAATCAAGCATAATGTGAAGAAACCACTGAAAGGCCATTATATTTAAGGAAACGAGATGAACAAAATATATGATAAGAGACGAACAAAATATGAGCCCTAGTTAGAGGAACGCGATCACATGGATCAGATGAGTCACAAGGGATAAATACATCCAAGGGGAGAAAATTAAATACATATATATGTGCGTGCATAATATGCATGTAAACATATCTAATATTTATGCATCTGCACTTGGAGCACTGTGCATGCAAATGAGTTTCTAAGCAAAAACTATACATCTTTATCGCTATACTGTTGTAGTAGAAAGCACATACAACCTGTAGCCGTGCTCAAATTATGCATCAAGTTCATTCCCATATAATGTAAGCAATTTTTCACTCTAAGAACCCAACAGAAGTTGAAGTTTACAGACTCTACCAATAAAACTTGAGAAACCACCCTCCAACCTTAGCAACAAATAATCAAAAACAGAACTTGCTGAAGAATACACAAACTTTTAATCTCTACCTCATAAAGATACTCAAACCTCCTAAATCAAATGGTTTCAGGTTGCACAATCACAAATACGGTCCGTCGCTCAAGATATTACGGGTCACGTAGCTACAAAACCTACAATACTAAGTATAAATTGACAATGATCAAACTATTCCAACTGTCGAGATATTCCGGGTCACGTAGCTACAAAACCTACAATACTAGGTATGAATTGACAATGACCAAACTAATCCAAGTATTTAGATCTTGAAGGCCTCACCGATGACAATAAAAGGCAACAACAAATGGTGAATCCAAAGTAATAATAAGTCTCATCCTTCATTACTCAAAAAACTCAATTCAACTACATATTAAATTGTAAACACAACTACATATTAAGTGGGTATAAAGCATTCAAACGATGTTCCCAAAATTTGACTTGTTCTGATCATAAAACTTAATTTAGTGAACACCAATAGACTACAATTAAGTACCCCAAAACATTCCTGCATCAACCATTCAACGCCCTCAAGCAGAAGCTGAGACTCCCTTGCTCCTCGGAGTCGCTTGAGTGCCTGAATCAACATCGAGAAATTGATAAATTAGAACAAAAAATTTCAAAGAAATAAATAAATAAGCACCCAATGAACTACATATTATATGGATTTACCTTCTCTGAAGCAGCTCTTGAATCTGCGGGGCAAGTGGCGAAGATACCTCATGCGACCAGTTCCAGTGGTCTTCCTTCTGATCGCCTTCACACTCCAGTTATCTGAAATGTTATGTACAACCCCAAATCATATATGAACAATTGAAGACGATATGTACATGTATGTAATTATGTGTATATGAAGAGAGAGAGAACGAGAGATAAGAGGGAGAAAGATTACATTTCCTGACACGGGCTGCAGGGAAGGCACAAGCAGAGCATCGGCTCTTCTGGAGATGAAAGCTGCGGCGACCACATCTCACACAGAGTGTGTGGGTCTTGTTCCTCCTCTTACCGAAGCTTCCTGTTCCTTTTCCCTGTTTCAATCACAACAAATCAGCTCTCATACACGCATATATAGATAGATAGATATATAGATAGGTAGAGAGAAAGAGAGTGATTAGGTCACCATTGATTTTGCAGTTGCAGAAGAAACCCTAGGTTTTGGGGCTCTTGGATAAAGAGATTTGAGTGCGGCGAGTAGACACCGTATTCATATATGGTGAAATGAAGCAAGAGAGGTTTTAGGGCCTAGGGCTCGAAAGAGATGGACAATTTAGTGGGCTACAGCCCCAGGTGGGTTTGTAAGCCCATAAGCTTCAATGAAAATAGCCCAATGCATTTGATTCAACGAACTTGAAGCCCGAAAATACGAATGCCAATGGGCTCAGAACGGGCTGGGCAGTCTCTAGCTTTAGCTTACGGTGTAAAAACTATATACAGCCCACCGGATAATTTCAAGGACGGCCAGGATTTTGCGTCCCCTATGAATCAAAATCTTCTCCAACACAATAGTAAACCGGTCCCTCCAGTTACTCATACATGTTCGGAAAATGTTATGATGTTAGACTTGCATTATAACATTTTTCTAACGCGCATCAATAACTTGAGGGGACCAGTTTACTGTTGTGCATGAAATGATTTTAGTCCTCTTCCACTGCAACATTCTTTTTTTTTTCTTCTTTTTTTTTCTTTGGAAAACAATATATATATATATATATATATATATATATATATATATATATATATATTACTGGATTGAGACTATTTTTTAATGAGAGTCTTGGAGATATGCGAAAAATTAATTATTTCTCGAGTAAAGTTAAAAATTGGCATCGCGTGAGTCACACCTTAGGTTAGCCAATGGCCTAATAACAATAGTGTTACTAACTTATTCGTTACTTAATTCTTTATCTGTCCGGTTAGATTTCCGCCCCATTCCTATTAGGAGAAATATAGAACTCTTTTAATAGGGTATGGGAGGGGCACGCAAATAAATAAGATGTAAATTTAACCCGTTCCGTCAAATGGCTATTTGGACGAATTTGGAATCATTCTAATCGGGTTAGGGGAGGCCTTCGGAAGTGAGTTTAAAACTCACAAAACTTCGAATTCGTCCTGATTAATAATTAATATCTACATCTATATCTATCTATCTATCTATATCTATATCTATTATAAAGTGTAAGCCTTTTCCTAATTTCTTAACATTTTTTATTTTTTTAAAATTTACATAAGTTATATCTCTTAAAATACCTAATTTAAAATCAATGATATAAAGACCCCTTTATACCTAGTTGTTAGGGATATTAACTTCCTCCAACTCACTCAAGGGTCGATTGTTGTCAAGAGTTAAATTCTTCCTTCATCACGCACAGCAAGAGCTTCATCACATCACATCAACAGAAGCATATATGAACATAACAATCAACGTAAAACACAATATTTTATATGATTCATCCAACTTTAGAGTTACGTCCATAGAGGAGATATTTCATTATTATGTATCAAGGAAGAGAATATACAATCAAATGTCAAAACCTAAGTCACATAGAGCAGGAGCGGGAGGGAAAGCGAGAGCGCGAAAGCATCAAAGTCTAATTTTTTTTAAAGCGGGAACATCTTAAGAGCGTCTGTATATTAGGTTTAAATAAAATTATATAAGGTCATGACATATAAATTTTGTATTTTTTTATTTATTTAAATCCATATGCAAATATATCATTATTTTTTACTACATTAATGATATATGTAATAAATAAACTAATTTTTCTCACTAGTAGATGCGTGGTTTCTTTGTAATATTCTCCAATTAAGAAGATTTTTGGTGATATATTTTCAAACATATGTTATGTGTGTGTGTGTGTGGTAGTATAGCAATGCTATACAGCTGGGTACACGTGCAGTTTAAGTAATTAATATTTATATTGAGTAATAATGTAAAAAATAAATGCATATATGGTAATATAGGTGTTCTATATCATTGAGACTGTAACAAATTTAGTTGTATAAAGTGAATTCGTACGGAAATCGCGAATTAGGAAAATAAATTCGCGAATTGCAAAAATTGAATTTGTGGATTTTGGGCGAATTCGCTCCCAAATTGCAAATCCGCATGCGGAGCTTAAGAGCGGGGCCACTTTGGACGAATTGTGTGACTAAGGTCAAAACTCCACTTACTCTCACTCATCACTCTTAAGGCTACATCTTTACACTCAGGAAGTACATGTATTCTCCCCTCTTCTCTTAACACTCAGATACCCCTTTACATCTTTCCCTTCTCTCTCTCTCTCTAATCCCTCACACCCTCTCTATTTATAGATACTTCAAACCCAATTTCTAATTATAGAAGAATTCTCCAACTTGCATACTAAAGAGTTGTCATATCAGTCTTCAACTATAAAATAACAGCTTGACGAAATCATCGTTCTGGAGCTCATTACCAACGATGAACTTCCAACAAAATATGAACATATTCAATTGGGATTGCATTCATGTCGAACAGGTTCAAAGAAAACTTGAACAAGTCTAACTTCACCAGAACACTACACTGACACGACCCTAAAATGATACCAATTCTAAAAAAAAATATTAAGCATGACCTCTACTAAAAAGGGTCCTATCACAACCTGTTGAAATGCATAAAAAAAATGTAATGGCCTCACTTGGCCATAAACTAATCTATCATGTCCCAACGCACAATGCAAACAATATACCAATTCCCAAACTAACTATATACATATAATCAAAGTCCCTTCCCTTCAATTCCTTCAATTAAAAAAAAAAAAAAAAAATTTGTGGAAATGCCAGTCCATTACTTAGTCCCATACTCTTTTACAAGGAACATAATCTAATTACATTAATTTACAATCCATGAAATACAGCTGAAATCAAAAGTCCATAATTTACAACATTATATAAATTATACTAAAGTTTTACAGAATAATCAAAATTTACATTTACAAAATATTAAAGTTGTAAAACAAAAATAGCAAAATATAAATTTCCAATCTCGTCTAAACTTGTGGTGGATGGTCGTTCGCCACCTCCTTTCCATGTCCTGAAAAATATTAATAATAAGGGGTGAGCAAAATTGATCAATAGGTGGTGCCTAAGACATACTTCTTGTGACCCCATGAATCCAAATAATGAATAGAAATAAAGGATGGGGGTCATGCTATGCCGGGAAAGAATACAACATTAATTCCAATTTTCAAATAAATAATGCCGTGCTATGATATGCGATGCCATGTATGTCGCTCCCCACTTTCAAAATCCAAATCTGTCACTTTTCAAACTGTTAATATAACCCATCCGTTGGTGACTCCGCAGCGACATGAGAGAAGGATTGGCTACTGTCCCTGACCCTTGGTACCCCTGCGGCATCATTTAGGACCCAGATAGCTCAACCACGCTAGGGTGTTTCCCCTAGTTCCCTCTAAGTTACATTAACACACCAGCCCTTTGGTGACTCCGCGGCGACCGGGTTTTCTCAAAACCATTTAATCAATATTTCTTCCCAAAAATCCCTCGTTTTTTTTCTTCAAATAATTTCCCTTCATTCATACCCAATGAAATGCATACATGTCTCATACTTTCAATGCTATGATAATAAGGGATTTTAATACAACACAATTAAGCATGCTTTACAATAATTAAGAAAATTACACATGCTTCCATATATCATTTATAGCAATTTATCAACACAATATATATAGAAAATCAACACTTAGGCATGCTTTTCATACAAATCAACTAATATATAAAATCAAAAACTTTGTACACCACAATTAAATCATTTATGGATAATCAACACCAATTAAACATGCTAACAACAATTATCAATAAATTAACTCACATAGGTACAAGAAAACATGAATTAGAGACCCCTGACCCCTACCTTAAAGAGTATGAAAAACCCCCAAAATGGGTCCCAAAACCAGAATCCCTAGAGTGCACTAAAACTGAAATTTCTTATATGGATGTGAAGATCTGACCGTGCTCTTCGAATTGCCGCAAATGGCTTTCAAAAATTCCAAGTAATGAAGGAGTAATCAAGAATTGAAGCCTTGAAGTGAAAAAAAAATAAATAAAAAAATAAAAAATGAAAGTTTGAGAGGGAGGGAAAGAATAGAAGAAAAAAGTGGAGACCAAGATGTGGTCTCATGACCACTTAAAAAGGGTTGTGGGTCCCACTAATTTCCTTTTATTTTTTCTTTTTCTTTTGTTTTCTTTTTACACCACACACATATATATACACACATTTAACAATTTCACAACCTTGTATAACACATTAAATAAAATGCATGGAATGCTAATGGACCCAATTAAAATCTCCGTATGCAACAATTCTGGTAACAGGTCCCACATGGAACCGTTTGGCCCAAAAAACTGAAAAATGTCAAAATGGTTACCCTTGCATTTCAAAGAGTCCTAGACTCAATGAGATGCTCCAAATAACTCTCGGACACAACCGGCACACTCCGCAGTGTTCGGTATGCAAAACGATAAAAGACAAAAATGCCCTTGCAATGACAAATTTTTCAGAAAAATAAAAAATGGCGAAAAATGAAAACATAACAATCTACCCTCCTTAAAGAGATTTCATCCTCGAAATATACCCTCCTCAGGAAGAAGGCCAATAGCCACACACTCTCCAAGATTACCTCACAAAACCCCAAGACCATAAACCCACCAACATTATTATATTTGACACCGGACATCATCAGGCAACCACACACCACTGCCACCAAAACCTAATACGGGTACCCATCTCTCCCTTTATCATAACACAAAACCAACTAGACCTTACGTTTGGCTCAAAACGGACATCAGCCTACTCGACACATTCACGAAAGGCTCCAAGGCCCGAGAAAAGAACAGTCATCAGACCACCGAATAAAACAACATCCAACCTCAACTCATTCTTTAAAAGACACACAAAATCCCAATTCTATACATCTCCGTCAGACCAAGCACTTGGTATCTAACACGTAACTACATCATCACATAACCGCACCAACAACTACTAATCACACTATACGACAACCATTACACCCACAACTTCAAGACGATTAAACAATGAATCCCCTAATAACTTCATAAACATTAGTTACCAAATCAGTAAAACGCACTACTGCTCCACTTTAGTCACTAAATCACCAATTTGATAATTGTTTACTAGAGTTACTAACAACCACGTCCGTCCCAGAGGGCTTATTAGCTCGTAACTCTAGAAATGCT